CAAACTAATCAAGATAATAAGCTCCACCCAGATTAAAAAGCGGAAATATTTGGAAATTCAAATTTAACAGAGCAATTAGTCTTGATTTTTTTTGTTTTTTCTACACGTTCACCTACTCTACCTACGATGCCGCATCTACTTAACATCTATGCTAGCTTCTCCATATTAGACAAACTTTCTTCTCAAGACATGAGTAAAACTTGAAATGCAATGAGTTTTCTGAGCCCAAACTTAAGAATCTTTTCAAATGTATACCTGAATATATTGCACGCAATCCGAAAGGCGAAAACAATCACCTTTTATCTAAAACAGCAGTGATCACCAAGTGACTCAAGACTTTGTCCCGGCTGAAGAAGACGGTATCTCGTATACCATTTACCTAAAACAACAGCGATCACTATATGATCACTGTGTTGTGAACAACTAATCCCAGTGAAGGCACTATCAAAAACACAATGGTGTGAAGGAAGCTAGTCAAGTTCTATTATTGAACCACACAGCAAACTAACAAATATAGGGTTAATTACATGATCGAGCCAATAACATAACCACAAAGAGAATAGGTACTAGAAAAAGGAAAACTTGAACATCTCATCGCTACATTCAATTAAACTGATCTAGCATTGCTAATTAAAACACAGAAAATAAAAAACCTAGATCCAGGAGTGACATATTAAAGAACTAACCTTGATTTAGCAGGCGGCTACATATAGGAAGGACTTGCAAGAAAGGTCCAAGCTTTTGATGCTCTGCCAACAGTTCTGATAAGTACTGACTGAGGAAAAGCAAAAGAACCCAAAAAATCCAAACAGATTAAAAATTGTCCAACACCCAAAAGGAAAAAAGAAGAAGGAAGAACCAGAATTGAAGAACATAAGTGAAATTTGTGTGTGTGTGTACGTATACCTGTCAACATCTGGGGTTGTTCTGATCTGCGGAGAAGCAGCTCTGGCAGGAGAAAAGTTGGGATTATAGATACCCGACATAGTTGTTTGGCCTTTGAGGAATCAATTCTTTAAAAAAGAATGTTTTTTTTTAGTTTAAAGAACAAGAAAAAATGGATTTCCCAGTTTGAGCTTCTGGCAGGAGAAAGAGAGAACACAACACCACACCATCAATAAAAGAGGTGTGTAATAAGTGGCAACAATATTATTTATTTATATATAATTAACAATCACGAAATAAAAAGAAAAAAATAGTGGACATCTCTGTGTCAAATTAGTAGAAAAGGTGTCCACATTTTTAAAAATTCATAATTTTCTCAAAGTATTTACATTGTCATCAGTTCCTTTGAAACTGAAGTTAACTCTGCAAAGACGGTTACTTTTTTTATGCTTTTCTTTTCTAGAAAAGTGACAGTGGGCATTATTAGGCGAGAAGGGGAGTAGGATAAGAGAAAGACAGTGTGTTTACTGTTCCTGCTGCCGTTGTTGGTGGGGAATTTATAGGGTGTGGAGGGATGCAGAGAAGTTCATGGCATTAATAGGACACGTGTCAGTCATGCAGAGGATCTCAGAGTGATTGTCCCCACGGTGCAGGAAGAGGCCAATGTGGGAATTATACTGATTGTTGGGCAATGACAAATGCCAACGCAGTCTTAGCTGCCCCCCTGCCCCTGACCCCTGTTACCCGCTCCTCTTGGATGCCTTCGCCCTTAGCTGCTTTCTGTTTCTTTTCTTATATTTTAGGTCAAATCTTGATATTAGTTCTTGTATTGTGTGTTAGTCCCAGATTTAATCATTATACTCTAATTTGATCATTTTTAATCCTTATACTATTTGAATTTTGAAATTTTAGTATTGTCTTAAATGCTACAATGACAACATGATTAAAGTATAAGGATTTAAAATGATCAAATGGGAGAAAAATTTATATCTATAACTTATTCATAATATAAGAATTAACATTATAATTTAATGATTATTGTTCGAATTAAGATCGAAATATAAGAATAAAAATGATCAAATTAGAGTAAATAGTAAAGTTTGTAATTTATGCCTAGTGTAGGAACTAATAAAAGAACTTTAACTTTTTTGTAGAACTATCAGACACATTGATTAATAAATCTAAATAAAGTATTATAGAGGTTTATTACGGGACAACCTTTGAACCTAATTTGGACCTTTAGTCCGCCAAAATCATCAATTATAGAGTATATATATACCACCAAGCTTTGTTAGCTCAAATTATAGATATTTTCGTTTGCAGGTCAGTAATTTGAGTTTTTTCAAGGAGCATTGTTGCGATAAGATATCCGACGTCTTTATATCAGAGTATAATACTAATTTTTTTATAGTAAATATATATTTACACGACTCTTATTTGTGTATGTTAGTCTGTAAACTCTATTAATATTATTTTATTTTCATTTGTATTAAATTATCGTAAAAATTTGATTTGTATAACGATTTTTAAATATTTTGATGTTCTATTCTATGGAATGAGTTTATATTTAAAAAGGGAAAAAAATTAAACTGACGATTATTTTGACAACTTAATGTGACATATTAATTCATCATACAATTATCAAGCTTGGGGCATTATACAAGCACTCGCCAGATGAACCCCATAACCACTTAAATTCAACCCCATAACGAATCCAATGCAAGAAATCCATCGAAGTAGTCATAATAATAACCTATAAATCGATCATACACCACGAACTGAATGATGTAACCCTACAAAACCAACGTAAAATCAATAGAAAACCAAAGATGCTTACCTAACCTTTGCGCCACATTCCAAGCCTGACTACAATAACGACCGGATTAGGGATGGGCATGGTGGAGTTAGGTCAGATTTTCGGTCAACTCGATTTGATTTGACTCGAAAATTAAACATCCTTCACCCGATCATAACTCAACCCTAAAAATATACACCTTTCACACGACCTGAATCCGACACAACATGAAATAATATATTTATTAAAAAATATAATTTTTATTCAATAAAAAAGGGATTTAATTGAAAATATATATAGATGGGGTATTATTCCAATTATCCCTAAATATATAGATAAAATTATATTTTTAAGATCGGATCAAGTATTTTACCCTAAATTCAAACTCGACTCAAACATAACCTCTAAAAGAACAAGACCCGACCTGAACTTTTTTTTTTTTTTTTAAATCTAACCCAAATGATTCTATTGAATCGAAACCTGTCGGGCAAGAGTCAGATGCCCATCCCTAGACCGGAGGGTTTCTCAATCGAAGGAGAGTTAAGACTCATGTTCAACATGACGAAATGAGTTTGATAAACAATTTTGGGACTTATTAATCACTGTTGATGATGATTGACATGGCTGACATGATGGTCACTCACATCAAACGACAATATGAATCTAGGCAAATTGAAAAGGAACTTAGAGGAAAGGGAAAAGAAGATGAAAAAAATGAAGAAAACGAGAGAATAAATTTTGTAACGATCCAAGACAACGTTATTTTGGTATAAATTTGATATTTTTTTCAAAATGTTATCATTTTGGTTTCATGTCATATCATAACGCTAATAACTATTTAAAGATAAACTGACAAAAACATAAGTAATTTAAAATTTTAATAATAAAATTAAAAAAATTGAATTTCAATGATCAAAATAAAAGAATGAGAAAAACTCTTAGCGATAAATTTTGTAATTTATCTTTTCAAGTTTATAGTTAGATCTTTTTTTTATTGAATCGTAAGATAGACAAATGTTGAGATTACACTTACATAAACTGAGGAACAAATGAGCATCATTTACCGCACAACCAATTAATGGATTTCTAAATTTCTTTTCCTCGACAATGCTGGTATAATTATTTTGGTGTTTTGTTTACTTGAGAACGTTTAAAGTTTTCAATTAGATATTTTTCAGCTTTTATCTCTATTCTTTTCTTGGAGGATAGTTATGCAGTAAAGAGTTTGAACCTGCTCCGCAAATATCCTTGCAAAGAAATGTCATGATGCAAATACTAGTTAACATTAAAGCTGAATTTTCATTGGTTCAAAATTAGCTTAGAAGCCTTCGGATTTTGGCTATAAATAACCTTTAGGCAGCACCTATGTTGTCAATTAAGTTGTTAAATAAAAACATAAGCTTTGTGCTATCCTTTTAAGATGAGTGGTTAACTAACTCTTTTTTATAAGGTTGAGGGTAAAAATTTATTCCTAAAAGGTTAAGGGTTAAACTCAAACTCAGATTTAGTTCAAATTAATCCATAGACCCTCCATGATCCTGATGCACTAGGCAAATGGAAGGTCACAAAGAATTTGAAAACAACAAATCTCAAATAAACACAGTCGTGAAACGTAATCAACAGGTGTTGTCCAAATGTGCAACATTTTAGTTCATGCAACTTCACATTGCAAAAAAACCTTAAATTCATCTGTGCTCCTTAGTATTCTTCAGCAGGACATAATATCATAAGAGCACTTTTATTTCTTCCATTGGCCAAGTTTCCTACATTTAACACCGAATAACACGAGGTTCTATGCGAGGATCAAAGGAAGGCAAAGTGGGAAGGTACATGCAAACAAGGCGGGAATGAAGAAAAGCATAGACTGGTGACATTTCCAGTCTCCTTCCTACTGTAAGGTAGGCAAGGTAATGGAAACAAATGCAGCACCGAAAGTAATCTTCAGAAGGACTGAATTGTTAAAATTTGCAACCATCATTAAAATATTTATGTAAAAAAAAATTCTAGAGTCAAAACCTTCAGTAAATATGAACAGAATGTGCATTCATCTATAATATAACAAAGCCTGTGGAAACCAGAACGATCTCCTACAAGTAAGGAAGCACATTGTCCGACGAGTTCACATAAGACGGAAGTAAATATGGAAAGCAAAAGCTAGTCCTTTCAGTAGACTGTAAGTTTTCCAATATATATAATATAAAGATACTATGTATATTCAATGATCAGCTAATGAGAAAACACCGCCATTTCTACACATGAAATGGAAAAACAAATCAAAATAATGTCTAAAATGAATGCATACTACTCCATAATCATTTCAAAATCCTATATACATACGGTGGCAGAGAAAGTCATTACTCCACTGAATCGGTAATTGGTACACGATTAATAAATTCATCTATGCACTTACAACTTTTTTTCTTATTATAACTATAATTCACTGACATTTAGTCCATTGATCAATGCATCTTGATGGAAAGGAATACCAACATTATATGTTTAGTGTTAGAAAATTGGTACACTATGATTGAAGTCCAAGCATGGTGCAGAAGTAAATGCATAGAAAATGTGGATGATCCAGCAGATAGAGATAGAAATTACTGAAAATAAATAGAAAAAAAGAATTGAATTGAAAACCCTAACAAACTGATCTATGATGAAATCAAATACAATGAATGAAAAACGGCGATAGAGATAAATAGAAAACGTGAGTGAAACTAAAAAGAAGGTGAAATTAAATTTGAAAGAAAAGCAAGTACCAGTGCTAAATCAGGACGAGATCAATTGGAGGAGGAGGGATTTTCCAAGAGCCTTTTGTCCCTTCTTTCCATGGCGACGTCCCACATATCGTTCCCGATGTGCTTCGGCTGTTTGGAATTTCATTTTTATCGAACGATTTCAATCAAAATTGAAAACCCAATGAAGGATTGGATCAAAGATTTCATATTTTAAATTAGAAAAAGGAAAAGGGAAACAAACCCGGCCGTGATAAGCTTTATGGATGAAATACTGAGCATTGCCCATTACACAGAGCATTCCAGCTATGATCCCCAGGGGAAGTGCTGCTTCCAGCCATATCCATGCCATTCTCTTTCTGTTTTTCTTCTGTGCTTCTCCCTTTTTCTATCTCCTAAATTTCTTCCTTCATATGCCCTCTAATTCAGGTCCGAGTGACGACTAATAAACAGTTCGTTTAGGCTTTTAGCCCATTTGACGGAGGAGCTAACATGAAAGTTAAAAATAATTTGGAATTTCATTTTTATCGAACGATTTCAATCAAAACTGAAAACCCAATGAAGGATTGGATCAAAGATTTCATATTTTAAATTAGAAAAAGGAAAAGGGAAACAAACCCGGCCGTGATAAGCTTTATGGATGAAATACTGAGCATTGCCCATTACACAGAGCATTCCAGCTATGATCCCCAGGGGAAGTGCTGCTTCCAGCCATATCCATATCCTTGCCATTCTCTTTCTGTTTTTCTTCTGTGCTTCTCCCTTTTTCTATCTCCTAAATTTCTTCCTTCATATGCCCTCTAATTCAGGTCCGAGTGATGACTAATAAACAGTTCGTTTAGGCTTTTAGCCCATTTGACGGAGGAGCTAACATGAAGTTAAAAATAATTTGGAATTTCATTTTTATCGAACGATTTCAATCAAAACTGAAAACCCAATGAAGGATTGGATCAAAGATTTCATATTTTAAATTAGAAAAAGGAAAAGGGAAACAAACCCGGCCATGATAAGCTTTATGGATGAAATACTGAGCATTGCCCATTACACAGAGCATTCCAGCTATGATCCCCAGGGGAAGTGCTGCTTCCAGCCATATCCATGCCATTCTCTTTCTGTTTTTCTTCTGTGCTTCTCCCTTTTTCTATCTCCTAAATTTCTTCCTTCATATGCCCTCTAATTCAGGTCCGAGTGACGACTAATAAACAGTTCGTTTAGGCTTTTAGCCCATTTGACGTAGGAGCTAACATGAAAGTTAAAAATAATTTGGAATTTCATTTTTATCGAACGATTTCAATCAAAACTGAAAACCCAATGAAGGATTGGATCAAAGATTTCATATTTTAAATTAGAAAAAGGAAAAGGGAAACAAACCCGGCCGTGATAAGCTTTATGGATGAAATACTGAGCATTGCCCATTACACAGAGCATTCCAGCTATGATCCCCAGGGGAAGTGCTGATTCCAGCCATATCCATGCCATTCTCTTTCTTTTTTTCTTCTGTGCTTCTCCCTTTTTCTATCTCCTAAATTTCTTCCTTCATATGCCCTCTAATTCAGGTCCGAGTGACGACTAATAAACAGTTCGTTTAGGCTTTTAGCCCATTTGACGGAGGAGCTAACATGAAAGTTAAAAATAATTTGGAATTTCATTTTTATCGAACGATTTCAATCAAAACTGAAAACCCAATGAAGGATTGGATCAAAGATTTCATATTTTAAATTAGAAAAAGGAAAAGGGAAACAAACCCGGCCGTGATAAGCTTTATGGATGAAATACTGAGCATTGCCCATTACACAGAGCATTCCAGCTATGATCCCCAGGGGAAGTGCTGCTTCCAGCCATATCCATGCCATTCTCTTTCTGTTTTTCTTCTGTGCTTCTCCCTTTTTCTATCTCCTAAATTTCTTCCTTCATATGCCCTCTAATTCAGGTCCGAGTGACGACTAATAAACAGTTCGTTTAGGCTTTTAGCCCATTTGACGGAGGAGCTAACATGAAAGTTAAAAATAATTTTATATTCACATATTCTATTCTCACTACTTACGCATTCAATCAATTTAATCTTAATTTTAATTTATTTTAATAAATTTAATTATTCAACCAAATTATGACATGTGTCATATTATTAAAAGATAAAAACAAATGTAAGTCTAAGTATATTTAATATTCACATTAAATCTAAATATTAACATTTAAATTATATATACAATATTTGATTGTACAATTTAAAAAATAAAATAAATAAAAATTTCAGATATCGAAATTTAAATCTCAATATACTATTTATAAAAATAAAATAATTTAAATGTTAATTAATTTAAATTGCCTTCATTGTAAAAAATAAACTTATACAAATGATAAGTTAATTATGTGAAGATTTTAATCTAACCATTTAATTATTTAATTGATGTTAATTAAATCATCTTCATTAACATTTATAGAATAGATGCCGTGAAAATTAAAAATTAATATAATTATATATTTGATCATTGTTACTTATATTCTATTAATTAATTTATGATTTAATAATTTATTTGATTAGATAATTAAATTCATTGAATTAAATTAAAATTAGGACTGATTTGATAAAATATATAAAATTAAAACTCAAATGTATAATTTTATCAAATTTTTAACTATCACATTGTTTATTAACTATAAATAATTCGATATTCCATCCCATGGTCAAATTTGAGATTTATTAGATCTAATCCAATTTGGCAACGCAAATGAAATTAGAGTGAACTATATGTTTAGTACCGAATTATTACTTTCATTTCTTTTTGGTCACTAAATTAATAATTTTTTTCTTTCAAAATCGTACTTAATGTTATATTTTGGTAACTCATCATTAAAAAATAATAGAACTGTTAACGTGATAATTTTTTATTTTTTCAATGATGATGTGATATTATATTATGGTGACACATCAACATCACTATTAATATTTTAACGATATATAATCAAAATAAAACTAAAATTAAATATTCGATTTGATTTGGAAAAAAAAAAATAGGTGACAAATGAAAACAAAAATGATAGTTGAATTACTAACCGTATATAGTTTACCTATGAAATTGTTGGCAACAGTGAAAAGCAAAGCATGGGGTATATAAGTAATTTGAGGATCAAACAGACAGAGCCATCGGTCAGTCCTCCGACGCCAAGCTTGACTACATTCCTGTTTGGTACTTTTAGGGTTTTTCTTCCTTCCAATTCTGTTTCCTTTTATAGATTTCTCAGAAATTCCAACGGCTTTTATACCCATTTTTTTAATTTCTACTTCAAAATTGAGCCCAAAACTGTAATGTTTCATTAATTATTGTTGCTCCATAATCAGATCGGAAAAATCAAGTCTTAATTTTTACAGGTGAATTAGCCGTCCCTTTTTTCTGAGCTGGTAATCAATATATGTTTTTTTTATATTTAATTTCCTTAGCTCGCATTCCTTACTACCTTTTTCTATCTGTTTCCTTTTATGGACTACTTTCAGATTACTCTTTTACTTCTGTTTTTCCTTTCTTGTATTTGTTAAAAGGAAAAGGTTCTTTTTTTAAGAACTAAAAGATTAATATTCTGATATTTCAAGTGAAAAATAGCTATGCCGATATGTAGGTGTTGTGTTGGAATTGTTGTTACATTTTGACTATTTGTTCAATTGATGGGGAATTCCTTTTCTTGGGGAAGTATTTGAGAAAGCAAACATCATGATTCTGTTCATTTCTGGGTTTGGAAATCAGAATGGACTGTAACTTGTTCAGAAATGTAAATACATGCCTTTTGAAGTTTATTGTAGGCGTGGAAGTAGAATGGATTTAATCTAACTTGTTTTAATGTTAGTTTTTATATATACAAATTGATAGTCAAATTGTTTCTTTGCCATTGACTTAGTCTTTGAGTTCTTGACTTTGATGTTTTTCCAGCTTTCAGGGTGCTTATCCGTTGCTGCTGTTGGCATTTTGGCAAATTTTAAATTATGGGACATTGCTTCTCTAGGGTATGTGCTATATACTTTTTTTAGTCTTTCAAATGTTTAATGACTGCGTAATGTATCTGATGAAAGAATATTGTTGGCCAAAATGTAATGAATCTTTAATTAAACAAACCATGAAATCTGAAACGATTTAAAATTAACATTTGCTGATATTTTACTTGCATTATCGGACGTGAATTTTTTTATGTAAAGGCACAATGTCATACGATGATTGGTCAACAGCTTTAAATAAGAAAATTAAAATTTCAAGAGCTCCGAGAAGAAGAATACATAGCTCCTACCGTTTATTGAAAACTGCAACTGAATTTGTTAATGTTCTTATGAAACCATGAGATTATTATTCTTTCTCTTTTAGTGTTTGTTGCGAACTGTTAATAGACCAAAATGACTTTCATTTTATAAGAAAGTTATTTTGTACATGTTTTTTGGTATATGGTAGTATGTTTTGTATTTTGTCAGGTGAACTGTTTCCTAGTCTTCTTTGTTGGCTACCTATCACATTTTTATTGTAAAAAATCCTTCTAACTTTTATTTATAGAAAAGAAAACAAGCATTTCTGTATACTAGTGATTACTCTAACATCTTAGAGAGTGTTCCACAAGATTCTAATGTCTTGGTTTGGGGAATGTGGTGCAGTCCAAGAACGCCATTCAGAACACTATGATGAGTTAGATGGCTGTGGTTGTGTTAATGATGTTTCTTTCAACTAACAAAAATAACGATTTAGTCTATGCTGACATTTTTTTTGCCTCAACACTTGTTGCAATCCTGCATCAGTTATCAGCTACTACCATGTTAAAGTTGTATAATACTTGTGGTACTTGTAGGATAAGTCTGATGACACTGATTCAGATCAGGCTGTTGAGTTTGTTGGTGGAAATGTGCATTGTGTTACCTCCAAAGAGGATTGGGATCAGAAGTTGTCCGAAGCAAAGAGAGATGGCAAGATTGTAAGTTTCTTATTACTTTCAACTCAGGCGAGGTAACGGAGCAGTAGTAACTACACTAAAGGATTTTCCCCTCATTTCTCAAACCTCTCTTTGTTTAATGCCATGTTATTTATCTTTTAGTTATATATTAATTTCTATGCCCTTTTGGAGTAAATACCTATTTGTTTTAATAAGCTCTCACACATGAGAATTCTATATCTGGATCGCTTTATCTATGATGCTACAGTGTGTTTACCATGAAAATCCCCCTCTAAAGAAGTAAAGAACTCATCAACATTAACTGATTCTTAGTTAGGGAAAGCTCCGTAAAATATTTTTCTCTGAGATAAACATAAACATAATAACCGGGAACATGATTTCATATAATGATGAAAGTTCTCTGTGATTTAATTTTCTTATTCCTTTCATTAGTTTTAAGTTGAATGAGGCCCTGTAAAATTTTGGTTTTACTCTGTAATTTGCCTGGATTGTAAATTTTTCAAGTACTTTTCATTTTACATTTATAATGTGGCTACATGTGCTTTAAATATCATCGAGTCCTTTTTATTATTATTATTATGGATTCCTTTCTCCTTCCATTTGCCTTTGCCTGGAAGGACTACTTGCTCTTAGTTCACTAATTTGCCTGCCACGTTTACTGGAGAATTTGTTGTCTATGAAAGCCTTGATTTATTTAATGTCTAAAGCTTAATGATTTATCAGGTAATTGCAAACTTCAGCGCAACATGGTGCGGGCCTTGTAGAGTGCTTGCACCATTTTATTGTGAGCTCTCAGAGAAGTACCCTTCTCTGATGTTCTTGTTGATAGATGTTGATGAACTAACCGTAAGTATTGAAACGTCCATCTTCCACCTCCCACTTTATTTATTTAATTTATGCAGTGAGTGATTATGTATGACAGTATGAGTGACATGGTATGGACCATATCCTCTCAATTTACACTTTGGTACTGTTGGTAAAATTTTCTGAAGCAAGATCTTAGTCCCCTCCTGTATAAAATAAAAAAAAAAACAAATTTGGCTTAGTATAGCAAATATATAGGATCCCAAGTGAGCACTGGGCAGGCATGCTACTAGTTTGATCTCGATAATTCGCAGGCTCAAATCACCCTGAAAAAAAAAAGGTTTTCAATGATAGTAAGTAGGTGAATGGGTTTGTTTCTATATGTAGGTAGGAGAAGAATTTATAAATATGTTGAGAACATTTTAGTTGATTATAAAAGGATTGGTGACTCAGGATTTCAGCACTTCATGGGATATTAAAGCCACTCCTACATTTTTCTTTCTGAAAGATGGGCAGCAAATTGACAAGCTTGTCGGAGCAAACAAGCCAGAGTTGCAGAAGAAGATTTCTGCTGTTTTAGATTCCATGGGGAACAATCGGAAATGATCTGGTTTCAAAAATCGGCAGTGGACATGCCCTCTTGTTTGTGTTGCGACTTGTGAACTTTGGCTGTAAAGTGTTGGTTTGTTATATAATTGGGAATGCCTGGTTTTTCAATGACGTTCTGTCCTGCCTCACTTTATTCAAAGGAAAAGTTGCTTTCGGTAATAATAGGATTTCTAAAAATTAATCAGCAGATGAAAAGAAATAAATTTTGCCATTCATATCATTTAACTAATATTGAAAATATGGTCAAATAAATGTAACTTTAACTTTTATGGAAATTTTCATCATTTCCTTAAATTAAAATTTACCATTCAATACTGATTTTGGACAATTTATATTATTTTTCGTATTGGTTTTAAAATCAATTAACAAAAATCACTAAAAAATAACAAAAATATGTTAAAATTCAATAATTAAAAAAAAGGTGAAGCAACAGGATTTAAAATCAGAATATTACATTCAATTAATAGACTGCCACATCAGACTGTCCATTTTGGTTGAAAACCGCATATTACAGTACAAAATAAGAATATTAGTATTATAAAGCTGTAGGCGGACAGATATATATCCACCAAAATCAGTTGAGTTCAACATTTTATTTTCTAGATGCAAAGTACAATGACCGACTTGGATTAAACCACATAATCAGAGTGAATAGTAATTCTAATGCCGCAACCATTCACAACATCATGCAATCACTTGTGGACTTATCATCTCAACGCCCTTTTGGGTTCATGATCTGTGAGAAAACAGCACTCGGTGTCGGTCCATCTGAGTCATTACTAGCCAGGCTGTGACCGCCTATGCTCGTACTCATCCCGCTGCTCCTTGAATCGGTTACGTTACCATCAAAACCGAGGGATGCATTAGGATCTTTCTTCCCTTTACAGGTTTCTTCATAGCTCGCTTCCTCCATCTCCATTTCATCAATTCCTTTCCCACTCTCTTCTGCACTCTCCTGCAGCTACAACGCAAACTCCAGGTTCCACAGTACATCCCCCATTGACGGTCTCTCGATTCCTTGATCACCCACGCACTTCATAGCTGTCTCTGCAAACTTTTTGAAGCATTCTGGTGTTATCTTTCCTTCCAGATGAGGATCCATGATCTGATCAAGGATGCCTTTCTTGTGACAATGTGCAGCCCACTCTGCAAGGCTCACTTGCTCCTTGGGCAGTGTAGGATTCAATGCCGGACGTGCACAAAGGATTTCGAAGAGGACAACCCCGAAAGAATAAACAACAGACTTATCGGTTAGCTGCTGCCTTCTGAAATACTCAGGGTCCAAATAGCCAAAGCTACCCTTCACAACAGTGCTCACGTGAGTATGATCCAATGTGGGGCCAGTTTTCGACAATCCAAAATCAGAAACCTTCGCCACCCACTTCTCATCCCGAAGAATGTTGGTTGTCTTCACATCTCGGTGAATAATAGTATGCTTGGCACCGGTGTGGAGATAGTGCAAACCGCGGGCAGCCCCAATGCATATTTCGACCCTTTGCTTCCATGGAAGAGGTGGCTTTTTGGTTTTGTATAGATGTTCACGCAATGTTCCATGAGCCATATAATCATAAACAAGGATCATCTCGCAGTTCTCTTCACAGTACCCAATCAATGAAACAAGGTGGCGGTGTCGAAGTTTGGAAAGCATTTCAATCTCAGTCAGGAACTCGTGCACACCTTGCTCAGATAGTGGATTGCCACGCTTGATTGCAACTTTAGTTGTCCCACCATCAATTTCCCCCTTGTAAACTTTGCCAAAACCTCCCTGTAGTATTCATCTTCGCTGATCCTGCGGAGTGTGAATTTCCGTACAATGAAAGAGGAAGCCATCCTGATGGACCATCACTTGCACTCGTATACTTTGCACCCCCATGCCAACGGTGACGTGAAGAAACAATAAAACAGAAACCAACGACAAGAGCTAGAACCAGTCCACCACCGACCCCCCCAGCAATAATTGCCGTCCGATTCTTTGAATGACCTTGACGAGATGGCAAAGCCAGCGATGGATCAACTACATTCTGTTTAGGACCGGGTGTAGGATTAGGCCCAGCTAAGTTGCTCCCCGGATCACTTATTTTGAATATCTCCACACCATTTAAGATTGCATCATAATATTGGGGCTTGCTACTCGGGTCTGGATGCAATGCAAGCCATAGATCCTGCTGCGAATTCCCTCCAGGAACCATGACCACATAATCTGTATACAAAGGAACATCAACTTGTTCATCTGCCAGGGCAATCACATCAACCCCTTGATTGTTGAGGAAGACGTCAAACACCCTCTGATTAATCTTAGTAATGTTACCCGTAAACTCGCAAAAATGTAGCCTGACCAAGTAAGAGAACCCAGAGTCAACACCGAACATCCAGGTTAAATTGTAATTATAGTTCACTTGAGCATTTGGCCCCATGGATCTAGCAGTGGTGTACACATTCTGTGGTGCAATATACCTAGGCATGGTACCATAATCGATTGTGACATTTGGATCTGCAGCTTCAGAAACTCTATAGGCTGCCCCAAACAGATATGGCTGATCATCATACCAAGACCTAAACAGGCCTGTATCCCCCGAAGCGAGATATTCGTTCCCACCCACATTCAGCTGGTAAACATTCTCTAGAGCAGTGCTGTTATCTATGGTGAACGGCGAGTTTTGACCCACAACTGGTATCCCGTCGGTATTACTATAAATATCAGGCATCGACAAAACTTCGATCCCATTGACAAACGCATAAGCGTTCGAAGGACTGGAACCGGGACTAAATGTCAAGTTCAAGTGATCGCCATCTACATTGATGGAATACTCCTTAACAATAAAAGCATAATTCATAGCTTCACTCGTCTGAGCAGCACTGAAATTCTTGAGAAGCGTATAAGAACCGGACGATACCAAAAACAAAGCATTGCTTGAATTCCGGCCATCATATGAATTACCATAAAAATACAACCTAACAAATTTCCAACCGGCGACGACCGCGAAATTATAGGTAAAGTTCGATCGAAAAACGCGGGCGGTCAAGTAGGGAACTTCAGGGACCTAGGGATCTTGCGTGGCAGCTCGGGAAGTGACGGAGCTCCCAGTTCCGACCAGGAACTTGAGCCCGAAATCCGGGGTCCATTTCCGGTCATCGTTATCGATGAGCTCCGATTTCTCACCGCAGTTTAGGAGGATTTTCTCAGTTGGTACATAATCAGCAGCTAAGACAAATCGAAAGTACAGTAACAGCAAGGAGGCAAGACATCGGAAACGAGTTACCGACTGAGTTCCTCATGAGTTCATAATGCGGGATCCAAGACAGAATAAAAGGACTTAATATTTGAAGATAAATGAACAAATGAAATCAAACCCAGAATTCCTTAGCTAAAAGAGCATAAAAAGAATTGAGATCCAAGGGACAACAGCAAGCTACCTCAAAGACAGAGCAGAAGGAAAACAAAGATGCTTGTAATATACGTGTAAATGAAGGGACTTTCAAGGCATTTACCTTTGGGAAGCTGAAGAAAGAAGGGAGAAACTCAGTGAGTGAAATCGGAGAAGATAGTAATGGAGAGTTATTAGGTGGTTGTTTGTTTCATTAGGGTGAAGGAAGAAAGAGAAAGGAGAAAGCTTTGAAATGGAAAGTTGGAGTGCTACAGCTATCTGAGCCGATGATGATGGCATACGTGGAAAGGGGACAGTAACAGCCTGGTTTGTATTTATATAATACAGATGAAAATTTAATATTACATTAGAGGTTTTAATGGTACGAAAATGTCGTGTACTTCTGAGATTTTTTTAATTTGTCTGAAAACATCAAACTGTTATAAAAGTTTTTTTTATTTATTTGAATACGTCCATCGTAAAATCATTATATTTAATTTAAAACACAAAATATCTGATATCTTTAAATTAATACTACTTGATTCACTTTAAAAAAAATAATCTAAAAAATTAGAAAATACCACAATACATTATCTCAGCCATTTTCCCGTTTTAATGATCGGACGAGAGATGAGTTAAATAATAGATTCAGTGAGTTTGTAAGACCATTATCTTTTTACTGTTTTCCCCATTCCGTTTGCCAACTTGCGTTGCATATGTCATGCAGCTCGGCTGTGTCCCATTTATTATTAGATAAAAAAGTGGTGCAATATAATAATAATTTTAATTTTTAAGTTTACACAACGTATCCATTTGATCATAGTTTAAACTAACTTTATAAATTTAACTCTTCATATTTAAAAATTTTAGTAGCATTTTAGTATTTGTTCTTCTCCTAAATTATTTGTTTTTCTTTTAAAAATATTTGATTACTTTCATGTAACTTTATTAGTATAATAACAATTTAAGAATAACTTGTTACTACTTTATGATAGAGTGCAATAATTCAACTACTATTTTAATCGTGCGGACTGTTTGATTTGATAATAAAAAAAATAGATTGACGAAATAAACATAAAAGATTAAATTTATTGAATATTTTGAATTAAGGAAAAAATAATAGAATATAAAAGTTTTGAATATTAAAAATGTTATTATACCAGCCACATTAGATGTTCGTTTCATTTTTAACAACAAAGTAATCAATTTGTAATACTATTTTAATTGAGTAACTTGTTTATAACGTACACAAATTGAATGTCCTATAGTGTATTTTACCCAAAAATAAATAAACTAACCTTTTGTTGTACAATCCTGGTTTTAAGCAAAAGCTACAGTGTCTAGTTACTTGGCATTTAAAATCTGGAAAAAAGCTTGAAATCGAACTTACATATGAATTAACTAACCTTTTGTTGTACCAAAATAAATAAATAAGTTTGTGAATGAAAATAAAAAAGGAGAATTTGAAAACTCTTCCTCCCACTTGCAATCACTGAAAACTGAAAACCAACTGGTTTCCTTCTTTTTCTTCTCTCATTCAATTCAGCAGAAAGCTAAAGACTCAACTTTCTCACACTGTGAGTGGCAAAATTCTTTCCTTTCTTTCTCCCTTGTTTTGCTTTATAAACGCAAGTGAAAGTTTTATTTGGTGGACGGGAATTTAGATTGTACCCCAAGAAATGCAATGATATTCACATCTCAACCAATCCTTGTCCACTCTGAACCCTAAAGCCTGGACCTAAAACTTAACTTGGGAGTCACAAGCTTTAAGCTCCATCACATGTCCTTGCAAATTGTAATTACTAAATACCCTTTTCTTCAATTTCAGTTTCTAGTGTCTTCTCATCTTACCCTATCTGTGCTGCATATCACAGTAGCGAAGCCATTGGAAACATTTTTTCTTGGCTTCAAAGCTACATAAATCATCCCCTCTTTGATACTCTTCTTGTTTCACAATTTCAGATTTGTAAACAGATTAGTTTACTACTTACTATGTGTAGGGTGGTCATAGAAGTTGTAGCACAAGACACATGTGTAAATATGTTACCTTCAAAAGATGCAAAATGCAGCTTTTGGGGTCAATTTTCATTGCCATGGATACTTGCAAGAGATGCTTCGTTCTTTCTTTGGCCTTTCTCGTGTTTTTCTTTGATGATTCTGGGACCAATGTCTTCGGTTTTCAAGGGGAAGAGCTGATTGAAACCATGGCGGATGAAGTCCTCGATCATACCCCGCATCTTACCGCGAGACAAGGGTATTATACATTTTCATAAGAACTTGCTAATGCTTAGGTTTCGAAGCTTGCACATAATGTGTTTATGATTTACTATGTTCAGGATGTATAATGTGGAAGAGTTGGAAGATGATGATGACTGGCAAATGGTGCAGACCAAAGGGAACCAGTTTGTTGTCAATGGTCAACCTTTCTATGTCAATGGATTCAATACCTACTGGCTGATGGTATTCGCAGCCGATCTATCTACGAGAGGAAAGGTCTCTGAATTGTTCCAACAAGCATCTTCGGTAGGACTAACTGTTTGCAGGACTTGGGCTTTCAATGATGGCCAATGGCGAGCTCTTCAGAAGTCTCCTTCGGTTTACGATGCGGATGTATTCAAGGTACTCATTTCACTCTGAATGCTGACTTTGAACTGCTTGCATACGCACCTGGAAATGACAGTCATCTGAATCAGATAACTAAGTCTTCACTTTGAAAATTATATTGCAGGCCTTGGATTTTGTGGTGAGTGAAGCAAAGAAATACAAGATCAGGCTCATATTGTCATTGGTTAATAACTGGGATGCATATGGTGGTAAGACACAATATGTTAAGTGGGGAAATGCTTCCGGCCTCAACTTGACTTCAGACGATGAATTCTTTTCTCATCCGACTCTTCGTAGTTACTACAAGTCCCACGTTAAGGTAAGTTCTTTTCCACTATATGTTCAACAGCTCTGTTTGTTGAATTTGCTGATGTATATTCAGTGGTTCAACACAGTGAAACTCATCTGTTAACTTTTTGGGCTATATAGGCAGTGCTAAATAGAGTCAATACATTCACAAACATAACTTACAAGGATGACCCTACGATATTTGCTTGGGAACTGATGAACGAACCTCGATGCACCTCAGATCCCTCTGGGGATACGCTGCAGGTTCGGTTTTCTTGTAAAAAGTAGTAGTAGAATGAAATTAGCTTTGCATATCTCTTAAGCCTCTAAATTCTAGTATTGTGCTCTAGTCATGGATAGCGGAAATGGCAGCACACGTGAAGAGCATTGATGCAAAGCACTTGGTTGAAATCGGAGTAGAAGGATTTTATGGACCCTCAGCACCTGCAAGGACTAAGTTCAATCCGAATTCATATGCAACTCAAGTTGGAACCGACTTTATAAGAAACCATCAGGCTCTTGGCGTCGATTTTGCATCTGTTCACATTTATGCCGATTCCTGGTACAAGCTATCACCCGTTTTTAAGTACAGTAGACATATTCTATGTACTTCCTATGAATCACATATTAACCTTGAGCATACGCATCTTTCAGTCTCACTTTTATCTCTTAATCATATCTTCTTCTAATTATGCATGTGGAAACTTCGTAATAGATTGTTTAATTGATCTGTGAAGGATTTCGCAAACTATTTCTGATGCTCATCTCCAATTCACAAAATCATGGATGGAAGCCCACATAGAAGATGCGGAGAAATATCTAGGAATGCCTGTTATCTTCTCCGAGTTTGGAGTATCCTCGAAAGACACCGGCTACAACTCATCATACCGAGACACTCTCATTAGCACGGTGTACAAAACACTCTTGAACTCGACAAAGGAAGGAGGGAGTGGAGCTGGGAGCCTTTTGTGGCAGCTCTTCCCCGATGGAACGGACTACATGGATGATGGCTATGCAATTGTCCTTTCAAAATCTCATTCAACTGCAAACCTAATATCCCTTCATTCAACGAGACTCGCAATCTTTAACTCCAGGTGTTCTTGGCATTGCCGTTGGGGTTGCAGGAAGAAAAATTCCTTGGAGATATTCCTCAATCATGATTATCTTTAAAACTGCTTATGACCAGGTGCTGGGTCTTTGGAAGCTGCTATTGTACATGCAAAATGAGAAATGAAATAGAAAGCAAGGAACAAATAAGATTCTTTGTGGATTTGTAATATCTCATTTCTATTTCAATTGAAAAACTGAGACTATTTCCATAAGAGTTCCTTAATTCTTTGAATCCAGTAAATTTAAGATAAATACTACAGACTAATTTCGGGTTTGCTATTGGTGAGCAAAATGCTAAGGCTAAGGCCAAGACACACTTATATAAGGAACTACTCTGATGTAAAGGGGTTGGTTGCAGCAGGCCTTATATAATTGAAATCTGTGAAAGGGTTTGTGTTGGACTTTGGGCTAGACGCCGGTGAAAACGTCAACTGCGTGTCGGTCCATCGCTTATCAAAGTTTGCAATGCAGTGCTTCCCGGCAATTTCAGGACGAAAACTGGGTTGGATCTCCCTTGCCTCTAGTTTCCTCCAGTTTATTGTCTTCAGCCACTTGCATCGCTTTATTTCCTCACTTCCGGTTGGTCCACTTCCAAGGCGCTTACTGGGATCTTTATGTAGAAGCTAAAACATAAGAAAACCAAATTGTTAATAATCAGTTCCTAAAGATCAGTCATTCAAGATTTTTCTTTAGCAAGAGCTCTCAGGTGAATCAAATAGAAAGGACAGTTCTAGGCCGGCAACATCCCAGCTACGATCATTAATTCATCCAGAAAGATGGAAATAAGTTTAGGGACACAAGACTCTGAAAAAAGGAAATGAGAAACATAAATTAAGGCTTTGAATATTTACCCCTTTCAACAGAGAATGTGCTCCACTAGAAAGGTACTTAGGAAGCTTCATCCTCTCCTTAATAATCTTTTGCTGAACCTTTTCCCTGTTTCCAGTAAAAGGAGGCTGCAAGAACAGAACGAACCAAAAGTTAATGTTTAATTTCCCTCAACTACCATTACAAGAAGAAAGCTCGCAAAATGCTCCTACAAAAGCTGAAACAAAAGGCACCTAAAGAGCAAAAAATAAATGGTAAACCAGTGAAAGTAAGCATTTTTAACATCAACAAAGTGACATTTGATGCAAAAAGAAGAAGCAGAAAAGGATTTTTTTTTATAAAAAAACTACTACCTTTCCAGTAAGCATTTCAAATAATAAAACACCAACACTCCACCAATCTGCAGCCTTATCATGGCCCTTCCCAGTAATTATTTCAGGTGCCATGTATTCTACTGTTCCACACAAGGAGTTTGATCTTGTATTTTCCTCAAATTGCTTAGCCAGACCAAAATCAGTCAAAATTACCTACACAAAATAACAAAGATACACGATAAAGATTTATTCAATATTCCTGTTACACCAAGCACAGATAAAAGTTTACAATGGGGGAGAAAGTGAATACATGGCCATCAGCATCCAAAAGGATATTTTCAGGTTTAAGATCCCTATGCATTATGCCATTTGCATGAAGGTGTGAAACCGCCGAAACGATTTCAGCAGTGTAGATACGAGCCAGATCCTCTCTGAGAAACAATAAAAAACATAATCAACCATTTCTTGGACAGGTTAAAATAAAAAAAGAATACAAAGATAACAATGATACCTGAAAAGACCATGATGGTGAAGTTGAAAGAAAGATGCCCTCCGTTGATGAAATCTAAAATAAGGTACAACCTATACTTGGTCTGTAAAAGAACATATAAAAATCATTAGTACAAGGCATTGTGAAATTCTAATTCATAGATGTCTGTTAAAGCATTTAAAAAGAGGATTTTCAATGGAGAGCTAGAAATTACTTGAAATGAGTATCTGAGCTGAACAATGAAAGGGTGATCAACTTGAGTTAAAATATTCCTCTCAGCTTTCATGTACTCTGCATGATTCTTCTCCATTATCTTGTCCTTCCGCATAACCTTCATCGCATAAATTTCTTGTGTTCCCTTTTTCCTTACCTGATATACTTTCCCGAATGCGCCCTGACCAACCATCTTCAAAACCTCAAAATCCTCAACACGAATACTGCTGACCTTCATGTGATCTCCATTAAAATCTTCAAGGGACTTGTTATTGTCACCATCTTCAACCGAGAGCTCCTCAACCTCGTTATTGGTTTCTTCGATAATACATTCTACAAGATCCACTCCATCCCTTGTCTCACATAAAGTGAGTTTGCTTAGCTTCAAGGATGGACAGACAAGAGAAGATGGGCCGAGCAAAGAATGTGATCGGCTGTACACAATAGCTGGTTCATCATAAACAAGCTCGATCACATCCTTAGCTGAAACAGTATTCTTTAATTCACCACAATTGACTTCTATTGATTCCTGAACTAGCAGGGGACCGAACACATCAGAAAAAATTACTTCAACCTGATCAGGTAAAACAGCTTCTGGGAGGTTTGCTTTAAATAGCAACTGATCGTCAAATGGTTTACATCTACGACCCTTGGTCAAAGCAGATAACCGTGATGAAACCATGTTGCCAAAGAAGCAAATTGGTCAATTGAAACACGATTGATGACCCCCTCCTGAAAAGTCTACTAAATGATGATTACTGCAGGACTCCTATCAATGGCCTTGGACGAGATAAAGCTGAGGTATGCGATAGGAGTTCCAAGAAACTTGGAAAGCAAGCAAAAGAGAATCCACAAGAAGGTTTTCTTGTTTCCCGATTTGCAGGAAACTGTGGATTCTCCAGTAATTATTGAATTCATGAAGACCATGCAATTAAATCTGCTAATCAAGATTTCACAAGAAGCTCGTAAAATTAGCAACCAAAAAAAAAAAATTAACAAGCAAAAGAAAAAAAAATCAAAACTTGATCTTTGGATGATAAGCACAAACGAAAATAAAAACTTTCGAAGAGAAAATCACCAAGATCAAGTGATCAACACAAACACCTTTTTGACAAAGTGGGTTCATTCTTTTTTATTCTATTTCTCCGTGTGTATGGTGTTTGGGGGGGGGGTGAACCTTAATATTCATTTGAAAAATTAAATAATAAATACCTATTTGAGTTGAGGAAAATGTATAGGATTTGAAGTCCCTACTTTAACGCAAAAAGGATGAAGAAACCAATGAAAATTGGAAGAGAAACGTTTTAAAAAACAGAAATCCGATTCTCTATAAAACTGAAAAATTGGAAAAACTTATATTAAAAGAAACCAAATATGATGAATGAATCGAAACTTGATAATAAAGAACATCGAAACCGAAACAGATGCAGATAATCAAACAGTTGGTGATAATATTGGTTAACCAATGCAATGATTATAGAAAGAGAGAAAAGGGTTAACGTGAAACGAAAATACCTGAAGGAAGAAGAAGCAAATTGAAACGAGACGAGACGACACACCGCCGCTTTTTATAAAGAAAGAAATATATAATTGGAGGTGTATAACAACACTACTCTCCGCGTATTAATTAATGCTTTCTTTATTTATGGTTGCCATTCCCATTCTTCCTTCTTGCTTGGCAGCCGTCACCTTTTCTCTAACTAATCTCTATTACTTATTATTCTTTTTTTTAAAAAATATATATTAAAAAAACATCATTTTTTATTTGGGGAAACTTACACGCAACTCCCTTTCTTCCAAGGAATTGAATGTTTTTATGTATTTTCTCATAATTTGAAATAGGGTGAATGAATAGATTTTCATTTTTTTTTAGGAAAAATAAGATGTCTAAATAAATAATATTATTTTGTTTTTCAATTATATATCGTTGTTTTACTTGAATTTGATTCGAATTCTAATCAAATAAATGATTTGATGGATGTTAGAATTTGTTAGATAATAGGTTGAAAATAATTAAAATAAAAATTAAAGCAATGATAGATTTAATTTTTTAATATTAAGCATTTTATGGAGAAGAAGACTTCGAAGAGGTAGAAAAAAGATATGTTGGTGAAAATATTTAATATATTATTAAATAGGATTATGATCCACTTACACAACGCAAAGCTCTTTAGTTTTGCACAAATTTATGACCGTTGGATAAGTGAAAATAAATGGCTGAGATTAATTTTTTTTCCAAGTGAATATCTTCTCATTTCATACTCTTAATCTTAACCATTTATTTTCATTCATCCAACGATCCTAAATCTGTGTAAAACTAAAAGAGTTTTACATTGTATAACAAGATTCTATCCCTATTAAAATATTAAAAATGTTAGAACATTTTTTACAATATATATATATAACATTTTGAATATCAAGATGTTAAAATGCTGTAAAAATTTAGATATATTTAGTAACACATTAGATATTTAACGGGTCGGGACTAAAATAATCCATATTTAAATAATTTGAAAAATAGAGGGATCTTCTTTATCAAATAAAAATCGAGTGACTAAATGTTTATAAAACGAAAAGCACAGGGATAATCTTCAGAATTTTTCCAAAAAACACTATTCATATATCCACAAAGATCAGTCTGGCTATCAATTACCATCACAACCTGTTATTGAAGTGAAATTCAGAGTATTTTTCATGGACAAAATTGGAGAAAATTCTATGTATAAACTAGCCCACTGCCTACTATTACTATACTATTAGGCAGACGTGCAGCGAGCGGCGTCGAGTTGGGTTTTAGTTTAGCCGATAACCTTTTGAATTACGCTGAAGATTGGGTGATTGGGGTATTATGTGCAACTGCGTCCGGTGGACCTGGAGGAGCGCCTTCCGGTTTTCAGTCATCGGACCTGGAAACACAGAGCTCGGTAACTCCGAGATTTCATGTACCCAATTCCCGATTTTCAGAAATAATGGCAGATTACAGCTTTTGAAATGCGCTGCGAAAGCAAACCCTTCTCCAATGCCAGGCTCAGAGGGAGACAGATATGGCCAGTTGGAGTTTGAGGACAAAGGGGACAATGAATTCGAACTCCGACGACGTCGAATTAATGCTAGCTTGGAGAAAATTAGTGACGACAATGGGAGAGATAGAAGTGGGGAGGAATTGGTTAGAAAGAAAATGAGGAGGAGGCAAGTGATGAAGAGGTTAAATATGGTGGCAAAGCAAGTAATAAGCATCCAGTCTGCTCAAAGCTTAGGCTTTGTGTCTCAATTATGGGTGGATACCACCTCAGTTAGTACTTTTCTCTTCGTATTAGCTTAATTTGGAATCTTGGTTTTCATAGTATGTCCGTCAATATTTCATTTCTGGGGAGTATCTTAGTTTAATGCCTAGTTCCATTATTACTATTACTATTTACATTTTAATTCCAGAAGAATAAAGCAAAAAAGTTTCTTTTGGATGCCAAATTGTATGCCTTTCGTAGCATGTTTTGCATTATAGCCAATTTGTTCTTTTATATAAAAATAATTTGGCTTTTTATTCTTTCCCTTGTGAGTTTTAGCAAAAGTTAGCCTAGGTTATCTGCGCCAAGTTGTTAATACATATGCTTTTGTTTCAGTGGGTTGTATTGGTTGTGGAGGTGAGGCCAAGCTTGCTCTCTGGGGAATCAGAAAGGTTTCTTTTACAAGATGTTGCCAAGGTAATAGATAATGTGTTTCTGCTCTGCATTTATATTCTGCTACGTTCCCGATAGGGCTCATGTTTGATGTCTCTATAAATCCGTCTTCTAACAAAAGGGAGTCCGAGTCTGTAGGTCAACGATTATGCTTGCCTTTACAGTTATTTCTGATTACTTTCCTAGTTTCCTTGCACGTATAGTCGCAACAGTTTTCTTTTTCAGATAGTAACTATGTTTTTTTTTTGCTTTTAAAGGTTGGTGATGTTGTGCTTGTTGAAGACGAGAGAGTGATGGAGAAGGATTTTAAAATGATTGGACTTGAGACGCTGGTAGGCATTGCTCCATGCATATCTTATTTTCTCTGTTTGGATGTAAATATCTCATTTTTATCTGTATGATCGTTGATTATTCTGCTCACGCTGAAATTGCTGTTATCTTTATGGTACAGAGTGCTTTTATGCAATTTTTGTGTATTCAATCCTATGAAATTCTCATGTTTGGTATGATGCGATGGTGATGACTAGTTTCTCATTTGAAATACAGCTGTATTGTTTCGACTTGCAAGTTTCAGTTGTTTTGAAACATAGTCCCTTGATTTAGAGCCCAGATCATTACTGTTTACTGTGCACTAGAAACTCATTTCACTTGGAATAAACTCGTTTTTGTTTTCACTAAATTTTAAAGTTTGCACAGTGATTATTCTTGTTTTTCCATGTTTCTAACTATTGATTTATGAATGAATGAAGTTGATATGCTAGATTCTCTTAAGATATCAAACGATTCCTTTTCTTATGATTATTAGGAATTGCTTTTTATTTGTTTCTTCATTTTATTTCTTTAGATTATATTTCTGAGAGCTTAATTTCTGGTGTTTGTTAGGTAGGATACAGAGTTGTAACTCAAGGACGTCAAAACATTGGGAAGGTGAGTACATACTTTATGTACTAGAAACTCTGCTTATTTCAGGGTGCTTTATATGATTCTAATATTTCATATAATTCTAGGTGCGGGGCTATACTTTCAACATTAATTCAGGGGCTGTTGAATCTCTTGAGTTGGATTCTTTCGGGATATCCATCATTCCATCAAGTTTGGTAGTGTTACTGCTCTTTTATCTTTTAATACAGTTAATATCTCAAGTCATGAAGATTGCGGATTTTTTCTGTAGTTTCACTGTCATAATCAGTTTATGGTTCCAGGTGAGCACTTACGCTTTGCTTGTGGAGGATGTGCTGGAAGTTACAGCTGATACAGTAGTTGTTCACAAAGCTGCAGCATCACGCATACAGAGGCTGACAAAGGTATCTTACTCGTCACTTAATATTTCCATGTGCAAAGTCAGGCGCTTGCTTGCCGTCATGTAGATATGCATGCCTATTAGGCCCAATCGAACTCAGTAATATAAGCTAAACAAAAGCTTATTTTGCCCTCTCCCCTGCAATCATAACTCAGACGCTTGTATTCTGGCAAACGAGCTACATTTCCGGAGTCTGGTTTAGGGGACATTGTTATGATCCACGGGTAACTTTTGCATTCTTGTTGAGATCTCTAGTATAACTACTCCTAAGTTGAAGGCATCATGGAAAACACCAAACGCTATTCAATTGGTGCTGCGTGTGTTTCATATTTGTTCATAACTCGAACTTGGTTTAACACCCTAAGTTGGATAATAAGTTCTCTTGTAAAAATGGAGAAGCTGATACATCCTCACCTCTTTCATATTTGAAAATGTTTTCCATCAAATGTGCTTACTAGTATGTCTTTTTATCTATAATATAAACTCCACTATTAGTATAATCTCCGACTGCTTATGCCAGGGTTTCTGGGATACCAAGAAGGCTGCTATTTCGATAGATGAGAGTACAGAGTATGAGGATGATGATGAGCCTCTCGAATTTGATGATGGTTGGAGAAATCAAAGGGGTTCTAGTGGCCAGAGATCACGTTCAAGGATGAGGAAAGCAGATGATGATTGGGATCTTCCAAAGGATTACTTGTGAATCGGTTTGGGTCTCGATCCCTCGAGTCTCATTCTTTGGAATGTAGATATCTCAAATGAATTTATAGAAATCCCAAAGGTCCTTACAACATGAAACCCATTATCCCATCTTTTTTTCCCTTTTGAATCATTTCACTAGGGGTGTAAATAAACTGAGATTGAACGAATAAGGTTATGTTCATGTTCATATGTTTATTTTTTAATGTGTTCATGTTCAGTTTGTGTTTGCTTATTTATTTTTAAAGGTGTTCGTTTATTTATTATTCGCGAACAAATGTGTTCATTTATATGTTCACGAATGTGTTCATTTAAAGTTCACGAACATGTTCACTTACGGTCCTCTAGTGTTCGTTCGTTTATATGTTCAATTTTTAGTTTTACTCTTTAATTTGTAAGTTAAAAAATAGTAAAATTATGCCAATTGTAACTCCTTAAAATTTTAACTTCTATCATATGTTCAATTTAGTCCTTATATTCACCAATATTTAAAATATAAAAAAATAAAAGGAAAATGAGAATTGGGTAAACAAGCTTGTTTGTGAACATAAATGAACGAATCGATAAATTAGTTTGTTCATGAATATAAATTAATCGAACACACATCTATTTGTGTTTGTTCATTTATTAAATTAACATAAAAAAATATTGTTCATACTCGTTTATTTAACTTAACAAACGTTATATAAACAGTTGGCCGAACTTTTTGTTCATTTACACCAATACATTTAACCAAAAGTTTGCATAATCAAGGTGTAAATTATGCGAATGGATGTTGGTGGTGAAATGAAATTTGAAGCCAAAGCCACAATCTATGAACTTACTCGAGACTAATGCCATAAAAATGAAAGAGCGGTATTGTATTGTTTGGAATCATTTTGCACTATGTTTAGACATACAGATTGTGTATGGTATTGTGTTCTTAAGAGTCACTCTGCCGTATCTTTAGAGTTCAATTTGTGTACCCATGCTCTATATTATCTGTGCTCGGGTTCATGCATGCGATTGTTGGGGAGAAAATATGAAGGGTTAAGGAGTAATTTTGCTAATGTGGTAAATCAAAATCAACAATTTTTTCATATTTTTAATTTTTCAAATTTATAATCGAACTTATTTAATTATATCAATTCTATTTTTCGATTGACATTAATCATTATGGTGATGATATGATAGTTAATAGTGTCGACGTGCGGTCTTTTATGATATGTCATCCTATAATATTGATGTGATAGTTTATGTGTGAGTGATGATATGGTAAATGAGTTTAAATGATTTTTTATTCGAATTTGAGGACATAATTGATTTTAATTGAAAGTTTGAGAGTTTATTTAATCTTTAAGAAGAAGAAAAAGAATTCAAGAAATTATTAAAATTTTAAAATTTATTAAAAACACTAAAAAAATTTGAAAATATAAAAGTAAATTAGAGTTTAAAAATATTTATAAATAAATAAGCGATTAAAACATTTAATTTGGTTAGATTAACATTATTTATTATTCGCGAAACAAATGTGTTCATCGAATTAGTTCGGTAGAAGAATAGTTGTTTTTTTAATATTCGATTAACAATTAATTTGGTTCGAGATCGGTTAGTTAACTGAATTATATAAAAAATATTAAATATTATATATATTATATATATTAAATACATATTTTAAGCTCAAACTCCTTAAAAATTAAGATCCAATTATTTTTCAACCACACCAGATACATAAATTGTACAAAAAAGTTTGAATTATGAAAAAATAAATAAAACATACTGATATGCTCCCTTAATAAACTATTGATATCAAGTAAACTTGGAGTGCAATGACAAAAGAAAAATAAAACACTTTCATTATAAATGAAGTTAAAACACAATTTTGAATGAAGATTATGACATTGAATTTCCGTCTTTTATTTATTAAAAAAAGAGGTGAATAAAATGACATAAGATTGTAGGTTCAATCTTGAACCGTCCCTCTCTTCCTTTTAATCAAAATAAAGGGATCAACCATTACTACCATTTTATGTATCTTAAATGATCTTTTCTTTGAGTAAAGAAAAGTAAAAGACAAGAGAATAATACTTTAGCTGTTTATATAAATAAAAAGTAGTAGCCGTTAGCGCCTGCTTCTTTTCAAATTCAAACTCTCCTTATTTTCTTTATATCTCCCTCTCCCATTTGCCCCCCAATTGTTTCTCTTTTTTGTCAGAAAAAAAAAAACTCAGATCTCGAATAATGGCTACGCCGGAGTTTCATCTCAGCGACCGTAAACCTCTACAGCCAAGGAATACAGCCGCCGCCAATGCCAATTTCATGGTGGTGCTGAAAGAAGGCTCGAAGAATAAGCAAGTGAACTCGAAGCCCAAACAAGAGCACTGTCTGGACGATGTTTCGAACAAGGAGAACCTGAACCATCATCACTCCACGCCCGCGGGTACGAAGAAGAATCAGACGATGGAGGAGAAGGAAGCGTTGGATTTGGATTACTCGTTGGCGGAGGAGCTCAGCGCCATAAGGAAGAGGATGGAGCGGCTGAGATCGGATAAGGAGAAGACGGAGAAGATGTTGAGAGAGAAGGACGCCGTGCTCGATTCGCAGATGAAGGATATGGAAGAAAGAGGACGGTTCCAGGAACAGCTGGAGATGGAGGTGGATAGGTTGTTCAGATTAAAGGAGTTCAAATCCTATTGCATGGTAAATCAAGCTGGAAGAGTTTTAGTTTCTTAATTGTTTCTTACAGATTCATCTGGAATTGATTTTGAAACAGAGGATTTCCCCGATAAAGTCATTGAGGGAGAGGCAGCAGGGCGGTAGTAGGAAGAAGAATGAAGTTCAATTGCTGGTATGTTGTTTTTAGCTTGATTTAGAAGAAATGAAAGCCAGAATGCCGATTTGGTTGGATCTTGTTTTCTCAGGGTGCAGATTGGGAGGAAGAATCCATGGATGACAACACATTGCAGAGCCCAACTCCATCAGATTCTTCTGAATTTGTTGGAGACTATAATAATGGTGATTTTCAAACCAAAGATACCTCAACTGTATGATTGATTTTGATTTTGTTTAAAGCTACCTCAGCTGTATGATTTTTTCCCAAAGGAAATATTATACTAAAGTAGTAAAGTGTTACTGGGAATTCAAATCAAGAGGCGCCTCTTTGATTTTGACTTCTAACATTTTCCCCTTTATCCGCAAGCACTACCGGCAAGTCCGATTTTTTTATTTTATATAATCCCAACTCTATTTTAAAATTCAAATCCATTTACCATCCACATATTTAAATAAAATTACGAGTCCTAATTAATTATTTTATCCATTTAATTCAATTAGTATAAGTGTTATATTTATTTCAGATTAATCATAAAAAGATTATTATACGTTTCTCTTATTGTTCCTAAGAGCACCCCATTCCTTCCCCTAAATCCCCCTCCCCCTCTCCCTCCTCTTTAAATAGGATTAGGAATTAAAAAACCAATATACGTATCTAATAAAAAACTAATACATAGGTATTTTTTTCTAAAATAACCAAAGATAATTATAAGATATTATATGTTTAATTTTTTTTAATCTATTGACAATGCGTACGCCAAATTTTCTTAATCTATTGACAAGACAAATATGCATTTATTCGAACCTAAACCGCTTCTAAAGAGGACAATATTATCTTTATCACTGAGTAGACTCCGAGTAGTGTCTGTATTCATTTCAAATCTGCTGCGAATAGTAATTAAAATATTCAAGCTCAAATTTTATTCGAATCCAAAAATGCAAGTCGAATGCTGTTCGATGAGAAAAATAAAAATTGAAACATGCGTTCATTTATAGCGTTGTTGATACAATAACGCTACTTCTAAAACTAAAATTCTCCCTACCCTTTAATGAACAAATAAACCTACGAGGGTCATGACTTGTGATAAAAAGGAACAAGCAAGCTACTTCACATGAAACGCCTCATGCCTTCTGCAACAAGAAACTGACAAAGAAATTACCAGTGTCCCTGGATGTGCATCCAAGCTCAATCTTTGCCGCAAGTCGAGTCTCTCTTTCAGGAAGCACATAAGTTGTGATGCCGCTAAGTCATCAGTCAAATGCCTAGTTATCCCTATCAAAGTCCCTATAGCAGATAAATATGAATCAAAGATTATTTTTAAGTTAAATTGATCCCTACATCTTCACCGCATGAATGAACGACAGATCTCTAGATTCTCTCTCTAACAGAATTTCCAATGGTTGTTGCAGTTTACACATGTAACGTACGTTGTCATGGGTTCATCTGCACTCCTTGTCTGCATTTGGTAATAAGTGGTCTTACGTTGACCACAACGACCACACTTAAATTGATCCGTCGTGGCCTTTGGTGCAAGACCTCGCTCACAATCAAATAAAGCTTTTTGTTTGATTTCATTATTTTCACGTTGCCTTTCATCACTAGCCATTTCCTCTGGGGTCATTGAAATAAGCCTTTCTGGAATCACTTCTCCCAGAAGAACCTTCCTCCTTAAATCTGGGTTCTTTGGATCCTTCAAATTGAACATTATAGATCTGTACTTAAATTTCTGGGTGCCATTTGATTTACCCATCTTCTCGAACATCACAGATTCTACAGCTACAGCAACTTCGATGGGATCACAAGCATTAACTTGACCAAACTTTTCCTTGTCAACCTCACTGGGAACTTTAGAAAAGGCCTCTACAAGAATCTCTCTAAATTTGTCACGCAGTGGATCATTGCACTTGGCCATTGATGTCAGCTTTGGTGGACCAGCAGATGGCTGCAATGGTTTCTTTACATCAGGTGCTTGTCTTACATCCTTATAAATCTTTTCAACCTTATCAATCTCTCCATTTGATTCCCTCTTCTCAACTTTGACAGGTTTTACTGAACCATCTTTTAATACTTTCTCAGCCTTCACACTTTCTGTATTGGACGGCTTTTCAGACTTCATGGCACTTGGCTTCGGTAGTTTCTCCAACTTGACAGCACCAGTGGTGCCGTTTTTCTTGCTCTTGGCAGTCTCCTCGATAACAATTTTTTTCCAGAACTCAAGCAAGTCAGAAGCCACAGTTTGAATCTTCTCCCTGGGATGCTTTGTGAGGGGCCGAAGCCTTTTTCCAACCTGTAATATATATGGGAGATAAGTTTTTCTGAAGTAAACAGATTCAACAGCGCACATATCTACATGGAGAAGATTATATAGACTTCGAAAAGATACACTAATAGGTTCAAATTAACAAACATGATTGTAAATCTACCAAACATGCTGTTTTCCTATCTTTTTTGTGGTTGAAAAACAGCTTGTTTTTCATTCATTAAAAAATTAAAATTACAACATAGAATATTTTAGGGTTTTCATGGGAGAGGGGTCAGAAAATTAGAAGGATGGATGTAGAATTTGAATAGAAAGATAGAAAATATTTTTTCTTTCCATTAGTGTGCTTGGTAGGAAAGATGGAAAAATTGAAAGAAATAGTAATTTTCTTTCCACATACACATTCCCTCTTTTCATCATTCCACCAACCAAACACACCCTTAACAAGCTCGATGATTAAAAAATTGGGGTTCTAAAACGGTGCATGGAGAATGAAAGATAGAAAGCTTCACCTACTTTGTTAGAAAGAAAAGTAGGATAAATTAGATGGACTGTTATTTTCCCACAAACCCAAGAAAAAGATTGCAGGGTAAAAATGGGAAAACTATAGAATCTATTTTAAGATTTTTCAACTATATACTCCTAACTACGACAAGAAAAGAGCATAGTTTGGGTCAAAAAACATTCCCTACATTAAATTTCTCCCAACTTTCTATTCATCCCTTCTAGTCGGTGGCCAAAATCATACCACAAAAGAAGAGCCTCCCCCTGATAATAACCTAATATAATTTAAATATTCATATATTTAGTACTAGAAGCAATGCGATTTATTTGCCATGGGAAGCTAAAAGGCAGTGCAAAATCACAGATTCACGCAATCAATACTTTTTCACCGTATTAAATCAGCTTCTCTGAACAAAGAACCCATATATATATAATTAATTAATTTTTCCTTCTAATATGCAGTCACAAAATTAAAACAAGTGTATGCTCAGGTGCAAGTTTATATATATATATATATATATATATATAAATTTATTCTAAAAAAGTTTTAAACATATATATAAATGCACATGTACATATGAGATAGTTGTTTCGTCAGAACTAAAATAAGTAAAAAATATATATTAATGGCGAAGGAAGTGAGAAAAGAAAACCTTAGTGGAAACAAGAATATCGTAACTGACGGGGAAAGCCTTGAGCTGCTTCAAGGCGTCGACGCATCTTGAAACGTCGGCGCCGTTGGGGAAAACGACGTCGGAGGAAGCGGCCAAATCAGCCGCTTTCTTGGCGGCCTCGAACAAATCCACCAGTTCCCTCTCCATCCGCCAAAATTAACCTAAGAGTTTGAAAGAAGGACGTGGGGAATCTTATCCTTTGCCTTTTATAGGGTTGTTAGGAAAATAGACCGGAACCCAGATGAAAGTGATAGTGGGTTTTGGACTTTTTTTGGGTTTAGGATTTCTTTGGACCGAACTGGGTCAAGATCTAGGCAGAAACTTAGGGGATGGTTTTCTTGAAATACGGATCAAACGGTTAAAGATCTCGGGCTTCCCTTGATCCGAAGGGAATGGACGGTCCATGATTTATTGTTGTTTTTGTTTCCTTCATTTGGGATTTGCTCTATACTGCTGGGCTTTTTATATATGTTTTTATTTATTTTTTCAAATAATCTAAGATAAATATGAAATTATATTTGTTCAAAATCTTTCTCAAATATTAACAATATACACACATCAACAAATGCAACTGCTTGCGTCCGAGATCTTTAAACATAACAATACTCTCTTTAACCACTAAAGTCACTTAATGAGTTCATATTTGTTTTTATTCTGGTAAGACCATTGTAATGTTTTATTAATTGTAAATAGGGATGAGCACGAAAGGGGTAGGATCGAATTTTTTGTCATCTCTGCTTTTATCTAAGAATTACTATCCAACATCTTATCCTCTCCAGCTTTAGCGAATCCATTCGGCTTTTGATGAGTGAGGATTCTGATGAGGAGGGTATAGCATTGACCGACAACGGCGGGGACATGGCAATGAAATTGGAAAAACATGCAATCGGTGACGATCTTGAGGAGGATAAGCGCGAATAGATGACAATCTCCATGTGTAAATGCTAAAAGTCCAATGTTTCAGTTGCATAAGTAGGAAATATCAGCATATTTTGATATACGGTTTATGTGTTATGTAGATTAAAGTTGTGATTAAAATACTATTGTTGTTGTAGATACAAAATTTTATGCTACAGAAGCGAAAACAAATTATTTATAAAAATATAAAAAAATATCTAAAATATATGATAATATGACATTTTTCATGGATGTCATATTTACGGTTCATTTCTATTTATTATCTCGATAATTTTATGAATAAATCTCTCTGTGCCTTCACTAATCTTGCACTGCTTTGAGAATTTAACAAGGTGGTGGTTGTTGCAAATGATGATATTTTTATTTATTTGTTTGTTTGTTCAGCATAAAATAGTGTGTGAATGATGATGAAATTAATGTGGATAAATAAGACGATCTCTACTTGTGTGCAGCAAGTTTCGCCACTCCATCATGTGCCATGTCCATTCTTAGTGGGCTCATGGAGGGTTTGTCTTTTATGTATAAATATATATAAGCGTGAATCACACTGGTTTATACCATCTTCTCTTCAATAATAATACATGAATGTAGATTGCACTCAACCATATCTAATAGTCGCATAAAGATTTCTTTGGATTTGGAAAGGGACTTGCATTTTCAATAATTTTGAAGGTCAACGTTTTCAATAATTTCTTTGTATAAATATATATTTTTTTAATAGTTTAAAGTGTTTATAAGATGATATTTATTTAAAAAATTTCTTAGCAGTTAACAACGCGCGAACACCATACAGACACAATTATTCAAATTTAAGATCTCTAAAAAAATATCATTCTCTTTTATCATTAAAATCTATTTATAAATTCAACTTTTTATGAAAAATTTCATATTCTTCACAATAAAATAACTTTTTAGAATAGATACCTATTTTAAAATTTAGCTCAATTTTAAGGTTTAATTTGAATAAAAAAAATAAGTTCATACATCTAATTAGATAAAAAAAAATTACATATATAAATTAAGTTTAAATATTAATTTGAACTCAAAAAGTAAATTTTAAGCATTAAGATCCTCTCATGCAATATAACTTTTTTTTTTAATTTTGTATAAATTTAGGATCGTTGGATGAGTGGAAATAGAAGACTGAGATTAACTCCTTATTTTTTAGGTCAATATATTCTCATTTCCTATTGTTAATCTCAATCACCTATTTTAACTCATCAAACTATCCTAAATCTATATAAAACTTAAAAAAATATTATATAATTAAATCTTATCTCAAACTTTGATCCTGGTATAACTATTGTTTTCAAAATGAATATATATATATATATATATAATATACTTTTGACGAGCATGGTTAGGGGTGTTCATTCGGTTAAAACGGTGGCCGACCGAACCGAATTAAACATAACTGAATTAACCAATTTTTTTTTCTTTAACCGTTAACTGAACCGAATTTTTTTTTTCGAACATATTAATCGAACCGAATAAATTTCGGTTAATTTCGAATTAACCGATTTTTTTTTTAAAATTTTCTAATTTATATAAAAATTAAATATTTTTTAATTCAAAAAAAGTTTATAATTAATTTAAATAATATATAATTATAAAATAAAAATTTTAGATAAAATTTTTAATTAATTAATATTGATTTAAGTTTAAAAGTTATTGGATCTTAAATTATTAATTGGGTTTTAAATGGTTTGGGCTTAGCCCATATGTTATATATAATATATTTAATATTTTTTAATTAAAAAACAGTTTACAAATAATTTAAATAATATATAATTATAAAATAAAAAATTTATATAATTTTTTAATTAATTAATATTGATTTAAGTTTAAAAGTTATTGAATCTTAAATTATTAATTTGGTTTTAAATGATTTGGGTTAAGCCCATATGTTATATATAATATATTTAATATTTAAAATTTAATTTCGGTTAATTAACCGAATTCGAACCGAATTAACCGTTAACCGAATTCTAAAAATTTTCTTAACCGTTAACCGACCGAACTAATTCGGTAATCGAACCGAATTAACCGAATTAATTCGGTTCGGTCGGTTAACCGAATTAGTTCGATTATTTGAACACCCCTAAGCATGGTGAAAAAAATAATAAGATAAAGGAAGGATTAATTGACACTGTATCCTACAGTATAATAATTATTTTCGAAATCATTCATAAAAAAAAGTATTATTTTCGAAATTGACCCCACCAATTAAACCAAAATCATAGACAGAGCCCGTGAAGCGCTGTTCACGATGAAAAATATTTATTTTATCTGAATTTTTCATAGCAAACTACTTCATTAGATTAAAACTTAAATTTTATAAATTTATCCAGTAATTTTAGTAATTAAATAAAATATTATTTATATTATTTAAAAAAATTAAATTCAAATAATTATATTTGCATAATGTATGTACGTTACTAATAATTAAATTTCTTTAAAATAAATATTAACTTATAACTATCCCATATTATTTAAAAAAAAACTTAAAACTTATTGAGTGCTTAACAAGCATATACTTTTTTAAATTCGTTTTTTAATTACTTTATCATTAGGTTTCAAACAATTAGATGACGTGATAATTTTTTTTCTGATGTTTTGGGTGAATTTTTATAATTATAATTTTTTTTAAAGTGTTATTAAATTGATGAAATATATTATTGTACCAATTAAAAAATTATATAATTATTTTTGTTAACAATTTAATGAAGAAATAGTAAAATAATCAATGTTGATAATGTCGGTAATTAAATTGAAAGTCTTTTTAGTTGAGTGACCAAAATAATAACAACCTCATAACTGGGTGATTAGCAATGAATTTATCCTTTATATCATAATACGATGTACTAAATAACTATTTTGCTCTTCTTTTTTTAATATAACTTATTTTGTTCTTGAATAAAAAACAAAGAAAATCAACGTGAAGCGACGAATGGGATGCGGTTGTTACTGAGCGACGACGTGTTCAAGCCAATCAGAAAAAGGAACACGTGTATTTCATGCAATCCCCTTTACCTATCCTTTGTTGTCATCTTATATTAAATAAATTTGCACACATCAATTTACGTCAATAGTTAAAGGAATCGTTATTATTTTTAAATGTCATGAGTTTGAGTACTAAAGACTGCAATTGTGATTAGTATAGGTTTTGTTTATTGGTTACAAATTTCTAATCTTCAGAATCAATTAATTATAATATATTGTTTTTTAGTATTTTAAATATATTTATAGAAATACAATTTTTTTCTTTCTTCTATTTTCCTTCCGTTCTTCCCATTCTCTGTATTTGTATTTCTGTTAATGGTTTTCGATTGAACAGAAAAATTTTCAACATTGAATTGATAGTACGAGTTATTACTATTTTTTTAATGATTAATATATGTTATAATGTTTTAATCTCATCGTAGATGCTTAACATCTTAGACGAAATCATGCAATCCAATAATAACAACCATACATGCTTTGATGGATGTATTCTATCATGACGAGTCGATGTTACATTTAATTTCTCATTGTTATATTTAGCAAGAAATTCATTATGGGGTTATGTTGTTGTTATTTGCATGGATATACATTGTTGTTTTTAGTTGTAAATAGCAAGTGAATGTATATTAGTTGAGGCATCTCGACAAGACCACTACTATATCAACATTCAACAATAAAGGAGTCCACATAAGTATCTTGCATCGTATAAGTACATGTAGAGGCATTTCAATTAGAGGTATATCTATTGATACATCTCAATAGTTTTTTTTTAAAAAATAAATAAATATTGAATTTACGCACAAAAAATCAAAAAGATGAATTAATAATTTTAGGGTTCAACGACCATCCATGGTCGACGATGATAAAACCTGGTGATAAATAATGACGATGATAAGTGGCGGTCAGTGATGTGAACTTTGACTGGATTCTGGAGTCAAATTGATATTTTATATAAACTTTAAGATTAAATTAGTATTTTATGTAAAGTTTAAAGATAAATTAGTATATTATCTAAAATTCATGGATTAAGTTAAAATTAACTATTTTATTGACATATCATATTATCAAAGTTAACGACCTAGTAACCAGGATAAGACTGATAGAAAACAAAAATACCAAAACCAAATTTTTAAAAAAATAATGACCCAAATAAAACAGACCAAAAATATAAGGGACCACTATTATTTACCCTACAATTTATACAAGTCCTTAGACTTGAATCAACGTCGGTGAATCAACGTCGGTTTACTTAATAATCCATTTGATTTTGTAGTGTAGATATATCAAATACTATAAAAAAAATCCAAGCCCCAATTTTTTTCACTGAACTTTGAAAAAGCAAACTTCCTTCCTTCTAAATCTTCTTTTTCTTTGCACGACGAAAGAAACGACCCAATGCTATAAACGTCCAGCTCCCGGGAAGGATACGGAAACCCGGTGAGCAAAAAGAGGTGACTTGGTGACTTTTATGCTTAGTTATTGATTGAAAAAAATTATTCCTCATCTTGGTTTATTGTTAGTAAAGCTTTTCTAATTCTGGGTCCGGGAAAGATGAGGGAAAAGTTTTGGTTTTTAATTTGCTTGTGGATTTTATTTTCGGGGAATTGTTTGGGGAGGTTTGTAGTGGAGAAGAACAGCTTAAAAGTGACTTCGCCTGAGTCAATCAAAGGGGTTTATGAGTGTGCGATTGGGAATTTTGGGGTTCCTCAGTACGGCGGAACCTTGGTCGGCACCGTTGTTTATCCTAAAGCCAATCAAGGCGCATGCAAGTCCTTCGATGATTTCGACATCTCCTTCAAATATAAGCCTGGTGGACTTCCCACTTTTCTCCTTGTTGATCGTGGAGGTATGCCTTTTGATTTTAATTTAGATAGATAATCTAATTTTGGAAGTAAATTATTTCAGTTATATTGGCATTTTTCTTACTTTCTATTTTTGTAAATATGATAGTGTTAGTTAGATGAATTTTCCGTTGTGTTTATGAGTTTTTACACTACATAAAATCATGCTGGTAGCTGGTATTTGCTAAATTTAGCGTTGCCTAATTTATTGATTTGAACTTGTAGGTTTTGGGGGTTTATTTTGAGTTTACCTGCTTTATCATCTTTGACTTTGTTGTTCTGGCAGATTGTTTCTTCACCTTGAAGGCATGGAATGCTCAGAAAGCTGGGGCTGCTTCTATTCTTGTTGCTGACAACAAGAATGAGCCCTTGATTACCATGGATACGCCTGAAGAAGAGAATGCTAATGCCGAATACCTGCAGAATATCACCATTCCATCAGCCCTCATTAGTAAATCACTAGGGGACAGCCTCAAGAAAGCCATCAATGGAGGGGAAATGGTTAATATGAATCTTGACTGGCGGGAGTCTCTTCCTCATCCCGATGAGCGGGTTGAGTACGAGTTCTGGACGAATAGCAACGACGAGTGTGGTCCAAAGTGTGAAAACCAGATTGAATTTGTCAGGAGCTTCAAAGGAGCTGCTCAAATACTCGAGCAGAAAGGCTACATCCTGTTTACGCCGCACTACATAACTTGGTATTGCCCTGAAGCTTTTATTTTGAGCAAACAGTGCAAGTCGCAGTGTATCAATCATGGGAGGTACTGTGCTCCAGATCCTGAGCAAGACTTCAGCAAAGGTTATGATGGTAAAGATGTGGTGGTTCAAAATCTTCGCCAAGTTTGCGTTTTCAAAGTTGCTAATGAAAGTGGAAAGCCATGGCTTTGGTGGGATTATGTTACAGACTTTTCTATCCGCTGCCCGATGAAAGATCAGAAGTATAACAAAGAGTGTGCGGATAAAGTTATCCGATCCCTTGGTAGGTTAATGCTTTATACACAAAGCTCTTTATATATGAGTCAAAATGGGCCATTCACAATATTGCTGCTGCTATACTGTTTGAGGTTCGATTGATTTTATTTCTTTGAATATGGAGTATAAGACCATTGAATAAGTCTCCTTTTGCTAGGGATAAGCAGTAAGTAGTTTTTCTTCCTGTTTATTGCACGTAATTTTTTCTCTTCTACGTTCAGCAAAGATAATGAAAATGGGTTATTTGTTGTAGTACTAATGAATTTATAGGGTTCTAGAAAAACAAAAGAATTCTTATTTGCCACTTGAAATATTGATTACTCAAATCATCTGTTAAGTATGGATAAAAAACAAGTTTATATCTTTACATACGACAGGTGTACTTATGTATTTGCATTCCGCTCTCTGCTTCATAGGTGTTGATCTCAATAAAGTAGACAAATGTATTGGTGACACTGAGGCCGATGTGGACAACCCCGTTCTGAAAGCTGAGCAAGATGCACAGGTCAGACAATTCTTGAACTTTATAAGTTAAAAGAATTCCTGCAATCCCATCGTTTCCATTTCTTTTCATCGAGGTTCTGATTTATGCTGTAATTCTTATTTTAGATTGGAAAAGGTTCCCGTGGAGATGTAACTATACTGCCAACTCTTGTGATAAATAACAGACAATATAGAGGTTTGAATCAAAATTTACCGTCATTGTCGGCAATCTGATTTATTGCCTTTTTAACAATATCTCTTCTGATGGATTTAGGGAAGTTGGACAGAGGGGCTGTTCTCAAGGCAATCTGTGCAGGTTTTCAAGAGACGACAGAGCCAGCAGCTTGTTTAAGTGAAGGTTATCATCTGTTGCTCTTAATTTAGTGGCATTTTCTTCTTGTGGTTTGCTTTGAAATATTTTAATTTTCCGTCATTAACCACCACCATTTTCCCCCATGCTATTTAAGTTATAAATTTATATTTTTTGGGTAGAGATTATCATAGAGATGATATTCACTATTTCTTTACAAGTTGTCCTTGGCAGAAATAGAAACTAATGAGTGCTTAGAAAACAATGGTGGCTGCTGGCAGGACAAGATTGCTAATCTTACGGCATGCAGGGTATGTAACCAGAAATTTTTTGTGCATCTGCTATGTGTTCGATTTAACATTTTTGTTGATGCCCCCTTCTACTTGTAGGATACCTTCCGGGGAAGAGTGTGCGAGTGCCCAACAGTTAATGGGGTGAAGTTTACTGGAGATGGTTATACACATTGTGAAGGTAAATATTTTCACGGAAAGTATTGGTCGTTACTCGTTACGCTTGAGGGTTATAATCAATGCTAAAACAAAAGTTTGCATCTTACATCTCCTTTATGCTTAGTTCTATCTGCTCTTGATTAGCAGCTTCTTCGGCTTTACGTTGTCAATTCAACAATGGAGGATGTTGGAGAGAAACACGAGAAGGAAGGACATACTCTGCTTGTATTGTGAGTGCCTCTCCTTCCATCTCTTTTTTGTTTTCTCTATTTATCTTTGCATCATTTTCTGGGTATCTTACTTATCTGATTCTGGAATGGAATGTCCAGGATGACCATTCACATGGTTGCAAGTGCCCATATGGGTTCAAGGGTGATGGAGTCAAGAGCTGTGAAGGTACTAGGATATTTCTACCCGGTTTCTTCATATAATATCAATTCATTCTCAACTCTGGACTAATCTGTGGAAACACATGGGAATTGGAAGATGCTTAGCTATTATTTTGACCATCACATTTGTGTTTTACCATGATACCATGGACTTAGCTATATTTTGGGGCAAAACTTTATGCTTTATATCATCTATATCTCTGTTGCCGAGCCATTTCTTTCATTGTAATGTTTCCCAGATGTTGATGAGTGCAAGGAGAAGCTAGCCTGCCAATGTACTGGGTGCAAATGCAAAAATACCTGGGGAAGTTACGAGTGCGGCTGTAGCAGTGGTTCGTTGTACATGCGAGAGCATGACATGTGTATCAGTGAGTATCTTTGAGGCATGCTGTGATAGACAGCAGTTTTTTCCCCAATTTCATGCTTTGTAGAATAGGTTATTAGATGCAAATCTTTCCATATTATGTGGTAGGACTTAATGGTAGTGAGTATAAGATTCAGCTGATTGTCCATTTAATTGCTTGATTTGGAGATTGGCAACATATCATGATTTTGATTTCATTTAGGATCGTAACGCCCCACCCATCTAATGCAATATTCATTTTCAGGTAAGAATGGTAGAACAGAGGTAAGCTGGGGGTCCGTGTGGGTAATAATTCTCGGATTGATCGCTGCTGGAGGTGCAGGATATGCCATTTACAAGTACAGAATCCGGGTAAGATTGTTGCACTAATATTGATCTTTGGTGTGTCAGCAAAATTTTCCAAGAAAAATGGGTGGAGCTCGACTGACTTATCATTTGCTGTTGAATTTGATGCAGAGATACATGGATTCGGAGATTAGGGCTATTATGGCACAATACATGCCATTGGATAATCAACCTAATAACGTGCATCATCCAGACATATAAGAGCAGCTCATGGAACATGCTTCCAAAACCCTTAGGGCTTACCTCTTTTAGTTTTTGACTTTGTAATTCTAAATGATTTAAGGTTACGCACATAAAAAGGATCTTATTATGCATGGCCATACATCATTTATGTTTTGCATGATTTTGGATTTATCACTCTACATCTTCCATATCAGTATAGGGTTCTAAGATGATTTAAAACAATATGATTCTATGGTCATGCAACAGCCAAAACAGCGAGAAAGAACAAACTTTTGCAAAGGTTATAATTGGTAACTACATGCCAATGGCTAAATTCAAATATCTTAATTCATTCCTTAAGATTATGCAGCGCTAAATTAATTTTCGCATTCAATGATAATCTGATCATGTTTCAGAGAATCATTACGGTTTTAAATTTAAAGTTATATATACATCTTGTGTATTTTTTATTGAAAATTTATTTGTCTCTAAAGAACTTTATAAGTTCATCATTTTTTGTTGCAACAATCTTTTGGTTGGCCTCATAACCACATTTGGATTTAAAATAAATTATCTTTTTGGAGTTGTCATTAATCTTTTTGGATTAGGTAAGATGGATATTCAAAATTTACCTTTAATCGGATCTATATTTTACTAGAGATTCACTTGGAAAGGTTCGGGAGTTAATTACATGTGGGGAAGTATAAACACCTCCCCCTTGACCTTTTGGTACCAATAGGATTAAAAGTTGTCTTAATAGTGAAAATTGAAGTTAGAGTATAAACAATAAAAATAAATACAACGACTTGAAAAGTATATGAATAAAATAAAATTTATTTAAAATAAAAAGGAATTTTTATTATATTAAATAAAGAGAAAGAATATCCAAAAATTTAAAAATAAAAAAAAAGTTAAAAGAAAAAGTTAGGTAACTGCATCAAGTGAGTTAAAAGTAAAAAGGAAATAAAATCTAAAAATATATGGTAAAAAATCAAATTAAATGAAAATGTTGAATTAAATTTAATGAGAAAATAACATGTCATAAAAATGATAATATTGAAGAGAAATTAACGGGAATCAAATTTAAAAGAAAGACTAAATATGAAATTAAAAAAAAACCCTAAAAAACTAAGAATGAAAGTATAGGATGAAGAATACAATAAAATTTAATAAATAAATAATAATAATGATTGTTGTAATTATCTCCTATCCGCATAAAATATGTGGATCCCATAAGAATTTAAATTGGGTCATTGGGTCATTTAATCAAATATAAAACTCAAAAAATTCTAGAATTAAATCAAGATAAATAAATAAATAATAAAATTTTCATTCAAAACCCACCACCAATTTTCATTGAGAAACTTCAATGAATACTTAATTTATGAAGATTTAATTGAAAGTCTTTTCCTTATTCATTGGTTATCCCATTCCATGGGATTTTCAAAACAAAATCAAGGTTGAAGCAATAAATACAAAAGTAATAAAAAAATATGAAAAAGAAAATCGTCGATTTTCACTAAGAAACCTCAAGAATATTAGATTTAAGAAAATCTATTCAAGAGTCTTTTCTTTATTTATCGGTTTTCTCTCATCCGATAGAGTTATTTTTTTAGGGAGAAAAAGGACAAAGTCAACCAAAACAATAAAGATAATAATAAAAAAATAATAATAACAATGGATTAAAAAAATGTATTTTTATTGCTCTTGTTCTTGGAATTACAATGGATGGTTCTCTCTCTTCTTTCCCCCTTTTTCTCTTATTTTTTTCTTATTAGAAAATAAGAGGGCCTATTTATAGACTCCTAAAAATCATAAAAGTAAAAAAATCTAACATCTTTTCATTAATGCTAAATATATTAATTATTATAAAAGTACTTCTAAAATAATAAAAATATCCTAAATAAAGTATGAAAAAATATAAAGTTGAATTTAATTATAAATATTTAATAAAATAATTAAAATTTCGTAATAAATTAAAATCTCTATATTGGGTCCGTATCTAATTTTTTGCAAGTATTGTCTTCGCTAAAATAAACATATATTGAGTTCTCGATGTCCGATTGATGTGTTTCAAAATGCATTGGAAAGTTGGCTGAAAAAAGGTTCAATTTTAAGAAGATATCATGACTTAAAAAGGTCTTGATCTTGTCAAAAAAAAAATCGTTGCAAGTTGACTGTTGTAATGGGATTTAAAATCAGTTTTAATAAAAATGTTTCGACTTTTTAAAAAAATAGACATGACAAAAATCATGTATTACACTTTCTAAAATTTTAAAAATTCATCTAATTAATATAAAAATTTTATGTCTCTAAAAATTAATTAGAAATGGAAGTTGAAACGAGCATAAATTTTCACGCAATGATACAAAGTGTCTCTAACATTTGATTTAATAATCATTTTGATTCATATTTTGATTTTAGTATTTTATCCTTCAATTTTTCATTTTGTGACATTTTATCTCCTAGTTGGATAGAAATAGTTACTTGACTAACGTCAATGATTGTTTCACATGTGACATATTATATGTATCCAAAGTGATGACATAATACATGTAATATGTATATAAATAATTATATAACATGTGTAACGTATACTTAAATGATGATGTTAAACATGTCATGTGTACATAAATGAATTACACATATTACGTTATTATTTAAGACACATACAACTTATCATATCTACTATTAGCATTTTTTTTGTTAACTAATTAAAATTTTATTTAATTAAAAAATAAAATATTCTATAAGAAAATATTCAAGACTAAAATATTTATAAAAAAGTATAAATTAAAATGATTGTTTGGTAATTTTTTGTATTTTATCATTAAATTTTTGAGGTGACATTTAAGTAAAAAATATGTCAACATACGTGTACCTAACTTCCTTTATACACACGTGTACCTAACTTACTTATAAGGTTCACAGATGAACTTGTGGCTCTCTATTTTTAGCACGTCAAATATGTCAACATCAATGGGTATGAGTAGTAAAAATATATGGCATACATAAACTTGTGACTCCCTCCCTACGTTGACTGGTTTCATTAATTTTAAAAAGTTTTAGATATAATAATTATGTCCGTATAATATTTATTATTAATGATTATTTTTTTAAATAGATATTATTTTATAATATTTTAAATTATTAAAAAATAGGTTACAAACTTGTGGCTCCCTATTTTAAGCATGTCAAATATGTCAACTTCAATGCTTATGAGTAATTAACCAAATTAATAATCATAATAACATCGTTAAAAGGGTAAAATCATTGCACAATGTCAACATTTTCAACAATTAAAAAATTATTAGATGATTGGCCAAAATTAATATATTCCCATATTTTCAGTAGGAAACCCACTATTTTCCCACTCATCTCCAACAAAAATCCCCACCCATCGTTGGTGCCAGCCACGTGTTATAGTAATTATTTTTAAAAGTTTATATATATATATATAAAATGAGAGACGGACAGGGGCAGTAGATTTGTGTTCACCAATTTTAACCGAGTGTAATTCCTTTCTTTAGCATAAAACATTCTAAAGCAATTAGTTTAATTTAAATTTTGTAGTACAATTCATACATGATTAATGCGATTTAAGTACAAATTGTGTTTCGTAAGCATGCCAGGGACATTGGGGAAATATAGAGGTTGGAGAAGTTCGAGCATTAATCTTGAAAATTGTAAATGAAATCAAAGAAGTTTGATCCGTTGTTTATCATCCAACTCTGAAATTTGACCTGTATTCGCCGCCGGTTTAGGGACGGAGTGTGCAGCGCAAAGAGGGAGCTGGAAGAAAAACATATTAATGAAAAAGGATAAATTGAAAATGTATCCCTAAACTGCTTTATGTTTGCAAAAATGCCCGTGATTAAAATTTCATTTAAAGTGCAGGGATTAAAATAAAAATTAAATCGTTTTACTGACGTGTCACCTAATTAAACTGTGACTAAAACTTAATAAAATGACAACGTAAGCTACCAAAATCAATCCCAACACTTGAAGAGTTATCATTCCAAAGAATAAGAAGCACTGGGGACCTGGAAATCAAAACGAAAACATGGTTTCCTGCAAATCGAAGCACCTGAAAATCACAGCGAGCAAGAATGTAACAATGTCCAAACCAAAACGAGGATTCCTGCAAATCAAAGCAAGCACATGCAAGTTATATGCTGCAAGTTCCAGTGAAACACATTTGGGCGCCGCATTCAACAAAGTACGAAGCTCGGAGAAAAAATGGAACATAAATTCACAATGACTCCGAAATCAAGTGGAACCATGGACAAATATGAAGAAACAAAGCATTGGAACATAACTGAATGCCATGTTACTCTAACTCCCCACTTTCCTAGGAGCTCCATTTTTAATATCGAATGCACTATCAAACTTAAATAGTAATCATTTAGGGATTGCTCTTGCAACTTTCGATTTTCTCAATCTTGACAAAATTTAATAAAAGAAACTTTGATTAAAAAAAAATCTTGTTCGTTTATGTAACTAATTTGAATCAAACAGGTCTTAAAATTCGTATAAATTTATTTCCAAACTGAATCAAGTAAAATTAATTGAGCGTTAAAATAAATGATTCACATCTTGAGAAAAGATCTCAAGTTCTCTTGTAGGGCAAAGCGGATGCTGAAATACCCTTACTTTAAAGCCGTTAATTATTTAATGATCGGATGACTAAAATATGAGCGATTCAAAAGTTGAGTTATTAAATTTAAAAGTTCTAAATTACAATGACTAAAATATGAGTGAGAAGATAATTGAGTGATGAATTGTGAATGTATCCCTTAAATAAAAGAAGAAAAAAGTGGTTGTCCCTTTTTTCCATATACATGGGGTAAGGGGATATAAAGAGAAGACAGTAAAAACACTAGAAAGAGAGTACTGGAAACTCAATTTTATTTGTTCTATCCGCATCTATAACAGTTTTCATATGGTACAATGGTTGCACATCTGAGTTTATATAATTTATATTCACCCGAGGTCAATTCATTTATTTATTCGAAAGTTTTTTCTTTTCAAGTTATTCTTTTCAAGTTATTGACAACCATAACACATGGTTTATGGAATAACAAATATTATAATCCATTTTTCCAACATTGTTTTTCTAAATAAAGATGATACTCTAATCTATTTTGTT